AGTATTCCAGGTTAATGCCTGGAGAAGAGAAGATGGTAGGAAACGGGGCCTGAGAATCCGACTCGTCTGTGTGTATGTAAAGTGCCATCAAGTTACAGCTGACTTCTAGCAACCCCCAGCAAGGGGCTTTCAAGGCAGGGGAGAAGCAGAGGTGGTTTGCCATTGCTTTCCTCTGCAGACTGCCTTCCTTGGTGGCCTCCCTTCCAAGTCCTGACCTTGCTTAGCTTCCAAGGTCTGGCAAGTTCAGGCTATACCATGCCACCTTCCCTCCCAGAGTGCAATAGACTCCACCCTCCGAAGCAGCAATTTCCTCTGGGGAACTAACATCTGGAGCCAAGTTGTAATTCTGGGCATTGTTCCCTCCAAGCTGAGTTAGTGTGAGCTAGCTCACAGTTTTTTAGCCTCTGGCTCACACATTTTTGTCTTAGCTCAGGAAGGAGGGCTCCAGAGCCAATGAATTTATGCAGTTTTAATGCCAGTAGCTCACAAAGTAGAAGTTTTGCTCACAAGACTCCACAGCTTAAAGGGAACATTGATTCTGGGAGGTCTCCAGGCCCCACCAGGAGGTTGGCATCCCTATTTTATTATGTTTTGCTCTGTGGGGTGACATAGGGGATGGGTGTTATTCCAGCTGGCTCCAAATGGTAGGGGGGAAATGGGGGGGGGGGATGAAAGAGATCTCCAGTCAGAGGCTAGATGACTCAGTAGGGTTATCAGGTACCCCTAGAGTTGCCACCCTCCAGGTGGGGCCTGGGGATCTCGCGCTTTTACAACTGACCTCCAGCTGACAGAGACCAGCTCCCCTGGAGAAAATGGCTGCTTTGAAGGGTGGACTCTGTGGCATTGTACCCTGCTGAGGCCCCTCCCCAAACCCCATCATCTCCCAGATCCACCCCCAAAGTCTCCAGGTATTTTCCAGCCCAGACCTGGCACCCCCCCCCCCCCCCCGGTGACTGGCAGGGAATGGGGAGAGACCAGAAGCTATGGGACAAGACAGCTCTGAGACCAAAGGGGTTAATCCTGTGGCGAAGCGGACCCTCTGCCTGCTTCTCTCCATTTCCCCAATCTCATTCGGCCAGCCGGAAAGGCCGGGATTATGGCAGCCATTGTCCAAGGGAACTGAGGCTTTAAAATGTATCCCAGGATGCTTTGGGAGGTGCTGCGTTCAGCAAGTTGGGGCAAATGGAGAAGCGGGGGGTGGGGGGACAGACAATTTCAGACACAGCGTCAGTTTGCCTCAGGGCAGGGGAGGGTCTGGGAGGGGTAGGAGAAACAGTTGAGGAAAGTTTTTAGCAAGGGTTGATGGAAAAGGGGACAGGGCAAAGTGACTGGCTGGAATGAGAAATGACGAGAGGGATCTGAAGGAATTAGAGTCGGATGTTTTCAGTGCTGGGCCTGGAGGCCTTTCGGGGGATGCAGAAGTGAAAGAAACGTGAGGAGGAGGGAAAGAAGCCATTTGGAGGGCAGAGTGCCAAGGAAAGCTACAGTCGGCCAAGGGGGGGGGTAGCTTCCTCAGAGACCCTTCCAGGACTGAGGGGTTCCACCGGAGCAGGGGTCCCCCTGTGACTTGCTGGAATGCCAGGCTGGCCCCCGCCTCTTCTCCTCTTGGCGCTGCTGTCCTCCTGCCACCCCAGTGCCCCAATGGCAGTGCAAAGAGGCTACACCATCCTCATCGTCCCACTGGGGACGGCCCTCGGAAGCCTGGAGGCTCTGCGGGTCTTCTTCTGGGTGAGTGATTGTGGGGCGCATTTATTTCGCCTCCAACCCTTTCTGTCGTGCACACCAGCTGAGAGAGAGAGTGCTGATCCATGGGCAGCTAGAATGATAAAAAGGGTTGGAATGATGAAGGTTGGAAGGGTGGGAATGACTAGAATGACAAAAGGGTTGGAACACTTTCCCGATGAAGAAAGGTTAAAGCGCTTGGTGCACTTCAGCTTGGAGAAACAACGGCTGAGGGATGACATGATAGAAGTTCACAAGATTATGCATGGGATAGAGCAGGTGGAGAAAGAAGTACTTTTCTCCCTTTCTCACAATACAAGAACTTGTGGACACTCCATGAAATTGCTGAGTGGTCGGGTTAGAACAGATAAAAGGAAGTACTTCTTCACCCAAAGAGTGATTAACACATGGAATTCACTGCCGCAGGAGGTGGTGGCGGCTACAAGCATGGACGGCTTCAAAAGGGAATTAGATAAGCATATGGAGCAGAGGTCCATCAGTGGCTATTAGCCACAAGGTATAGGTAGGAACTCTCAGTCTGGAGCAAGTGATGCTCTGTATTCTTGATGCTGGGGGGGGGGTCAACAGTGGTAGGGCTTCTAGTGTCCTGGCCCCACTGATGGACCTCCTGATGGCACCTGGTATTTTTGGCCACTGTGACAGAGTGTTGGACTGGATGGGCCATTCGCCTAATCCAACATTGTCTTCTCTCATGTTCTTATGTTCTTCCAGAGGCAGAGTGAGGATTTGAACCCAGGGTCTCTTAGATTCTTGCCTGACACTAATCACTATCACAGAGTGGTTAAAATGTGGAATTCCCTGCCAGAGGATGTAGTGATGGCCACAGGAATAAGCAGCTTTAAAGGGGGATTAGATAGTTTCATGGAGGAGAGGTCTATCAGTGGCTACGAGCCTTGGTGAGTGAGGGGAACCTCCACATTCAGAGGCACTCAGCCTCTGAATCCCACAGCCAGGAGGCAACACGAGGGGAAGTCCTCGGCCTCTATGCCCTGTTGTTGGCCATCCTGAGGAGCTGGCTGGCCACTGTGTGAGACAGGATGGTGGCCTAAAGAGACCACTGGTCTGATCCAGCAGGGCTCCTCTTATGTTCTCATGCTGGCGCAGATCTCTCTCTCTCTCTCTCTCTCTCTCTCTCTCTCTCTGTGCTTCTGTTATTCTGTGATGCTGTGAACACTAATGGTGCTATATTTACTTACTTATGCATACTGCAGATATTGTTGTTGTCAGGGGTCAGTTCCTAGAAAAAGAGGTGCAGGAGCTCATTAGCATAACTTATTTGCATATGCCACACCCCCTGACATCACCGGAACTGTGTCAGCAGACAACACCCACCGCTCAGGCTCCACTGAACTCTTTTGGATTGCTAGCTATTGGGGGGGGGACGTGCAGATCTGTCCTCGCAGAGGAGGGAGAGCTTGTACCTGAATATCTGCAGCTTACCTGGCTGCTTCTTGCTCCTCATGGCCTGACTGAGGGCTACTGGGAGCAGGGGGCGGGGCTTGTTGCATGTGCCCGCCCCTGGGCTCCTTACTGCCGGAGCTCCGCTCCTGTGCGCTCCCGCAGGAAATGACCCCTGGTTATTGTTATTATTTACTGTAATGTGCACAAATAAATGAATAGACAATGGCCTCTGACCTAGAGCACCCCTTCCCCATTCCCTGGTATGCAGATGTCGTTTGCTCTGTGTTAGATCGCACTAACAAAGGGCCTGGGTACAGTGTATGAATAGTCTGCCTGGCTTTCTCCAATGGGAAAAAAGTGAGTGAGGGAAGGGTTAATGCCCTCCCCACCCCCCTTGGGTTCACTCCTTGAGGGGACAATCGCTGCACCTGCATTCAGCAAAAGAAAATAATGAAGAAGAACCTGAGGTGTAGCTGAGCCCTGTGTTTCTTTTAATTGGGGGTGCAAAAGACTGATAATTCCTGGTTCACATATTATGAAGACTTTACGGCCACCAGGAGTGCTTTTTATGGAATGTATGTCTGGAGCAGTGTTTCCTCTAAGCTGAGTGAGTGTGAGCTAGCTCACAGTTTTTAGCCTCCAGCTCACACATTTTTGCCTTAGCTCAGAAAGGATTACTCCAGAGCAAACTAATTTATGCAGTAGCAAAATCGCTCACTCACAGCTTTGTTGCCAGTAGCCTACAAAGTAGAATTTTTGCTCACAAGACCCCGTAGCTTAGAGGGAGCATTGGTCTGGACTAGAGTATGCCCTAACCTGAATAGCCCAGCCTAGCCTGGTCTTGTCAGATCTTGGAAGCTAAGCAGAGTCAGCCCTGGCTAGTATTTGGATGGGAGACCACCAAGGAAATCCATTGTCGGGATGCAGAGACAGGTAATGGCAAACCGCCTCTGTTGGTCTCTTGCCTCGAAAACCCTGTGGTGTTGCCATATGTCGGCTGTGACTTGACAGCAAAAAACAAATAAACAAAAAGGTCCGGGGGTTCCCTGCGAGAGACTCCATTCTCAGGGGCCCAATTCAGATTGGGACTGTAGCCTGTGGGAGGAAGGGATTTAAGCAGGGGCGGATTAAGGCTCACTGGTGCCCTAGGCACTGACCAATCTTGGTGCCCCCCTCCTTTCCACACTGACCCGGTCCATTTTAGTTGTTGACCTGTCTGACCAGATATACAATGCAGGTTGCAGCAATACAGAAATGTATTCATATGATAACACAATATACTGTACAAACTAAGCTTTTCACCCTTTTCCCAACTTTGTGGTGCCCCCTTTGGCCCTGGTGCCCTAAGCACGTGCTTAGTCTGCTTAATGGTTAATCTGCCCCTGGAGTTAAGACTCACATTGTTTTCTCAGCCTGAAGCCCCTTTGGGAAAACATACATGTGCTGATGGCTACGTGGAAGTTTTCCTAGTGGGTACAAATAGCGGCTTCCTATTTCACATTGGAAGAGAGTGACATGACAGGGAAGGAGGATTTAAGCCCCTTCTTTGCTACTTGTTCTGAAAGATCGATGTCCTTAGCTTCTGGCCGAGCTGTCCCCCTCTCATTTAGGAAGTTTCTGAAGTTTCAGGGTATTGCAAACTGGTGCCAGGGCATAACAGATAAATGTAACTTTATTTGTGTGTGGTTTTGTTTCGTTTTTTTAAAGGTGGCCCTCTTAATTCCATTCAGGCTCCAATTCTGTCGTAGCCAGCAAGTGCTGTTGGTTCTAACTTTCCTCATCCCAGTCACTTTTAATTGAAGAAGGCAAGCAGGGAACAGAACCCTCTAATCCCGATTCTCCGCTCTGTCTTGCAGCTGAAGCGGATGCAGGAGCTGGAACGGGAGCGAGATGCCTTGTTGCAAGGGCTGGAGATGGTCAACCAGGTGCGGGACTGGTTCCAGCACCACCTCCTGGAAGCCCAGAGGCGTCAGAAGCACATGGGGACCGACACAGTAAGTACCCGGGGTGGGAAGAGAAGGAACGGATCTGGGTCTCGTGGAATCTGTGCTTCCCTAGCAGCACATGTGTTTGTTTGTTTGTTGTGGGCATTCGCCAAGAGCTTAAGGGCCTCTCAAGGTCTAAAGAGAAGGCAAGTGCTATGCCCCAGAGCACATCTTCAGCCTGAGCTAATGGAAAAGACCCATGGGCAAAGGCATGACCAGCAATTTAAGGGCCCCCAGGGTTATTTTTGGGCAGGAACGCACAGGAGTTCCGGCTGGCTTCAGAGTTGGCCATGCCCACTACAGCCAAAACCTCTGTGTGCGTGGCTACAGAGGGAAGGCCTGGAGAGCGACCCCCCCCCCGGCGACTCCAAGGCAGATGGGCCAGGGGGCCCCTGGAAGGATTGGGGAGGGATTTAAATGCTTCCCTGACCTATCCAAGGGCTGGCTTGCCCAGGTGCCCCGCAACCTCAGGAGGCTTGGATAAGCCAAGGGAAGGCAGTTTAAACTGCCTTCCCTTCCCTTCAAGGGGGGGCTTCCCCGGGCTCCCCACAGCTGTGGGGCGCCTAGGCAAGCTAAAGGAAAGCATGGGGTGTGGCCTAATATGCTAATGCGCTGTGCTGTCGGGGTGTGGCATAATATGCTAATGAGGTTCTGTTGGGTGTGGCCTATTATGCTAATGAGTTCCTGCTGGGCTTATTCTACAAAAAAAGCCCTGAGGGCCCCAAAAGACCAGGCAAAGATTCCATGAGTGTTTTTGAAGGGTGGGTGTATTTGTTTCCCTTTAAAATCCTAATAGCAGAGCAGGAAGACATTTTCCAGTACCAAAACTGAGTGGAGGTAGAAGGCAGGGTTGCTGAGGCTGGCAACTAGCAGGAAATGGGCGAGGTGGGTACTGAGGTCGTCAGCATCGCCGTTGGTGTCATGACATCACTTCCAGTGCAACCCAGAAGTGACGTCATCACACTGGGTCGATGCTGTAGCATTTGCCTGAAACACTGTGATTTAACTATAACGTTTTTGGCGAATGCCAAAGTGTTGCCCAACACAATGGCATCATTTCCAGGTTGCACCAGAAGTGATATTATCACATTGGGTGATGCTGATTCCCACCCACACCCATTTCACCCCCAATTTCAGTTTCCTGCCGAACCAAGAGATCCGGTAACCTTAAGGGTTAAACCCCCCCCCCTTACGTGCATGGCCTCCAGACAAACTGAGGCTGCACAAGCCTGTAAGATGAACAGAGTAAATCTACTCTTTAGCCTTAAGACCTGCTATAGCATCTATAACTGTTTTGTTTGATTTAAATAAACCCACACCATTTTGTAAGCAGTAAACGTGTTGTATATGAAATGTCCAAGTTCCCCCTTTCTGCTGTCTTTCTCAAACCCACAATTTTGGCTAAAATTGGATCTGAGTTCTAGGTTTCTATACTTGTATTCTGCACATCCGCAGAACTATTTTCCAGAGTCCTACTCCAACCAAAGCTGCCTGCTGCTCGCCAAGATCCAGGAAGTGAATATGTGCTTGAAAAACCTGCTCACCTCTCCCGGAAAGGTGAGGAGGACTGAGGGGTATCACCAGAATATGGGGAAGAGGGCAAAAATGGTAGGCCTGTGTGAGGGAGGTGGCCCTAATGTGAAGCAAGACGAAGTGATTGGCTGAGAGAGAAGGTTTTTAATTTGAATTAATAGGTCCATGGGGTGATGTTGACCTGGACCACAGGGCACAAGGTCTTGCATCACAGAAATCAGCAGGAGCACAGTTCTGTTCATGTTAATAAACGCCCTCATGTTAGTGAACTCCCTCCCTCTGGCAACCTTCATTGCCTGCCACTGCTGGCTAAATTTTTTTTTTAAGCTTGGCACAGTGACGTCACTTCCAGGGAAAACCCAAAAGTGATGTCGGGTAGTTCTAGGAATCGACCCCTCATATTCCTTCCCCCCAAGTTCCTGCCAGTTGCATCACTTCGGAACCCTAATATGGAGGGAGAGAGAGCCATATTGAATTTTTGCCTTGGGCATTAAAACATCATGGGGCACACAATCCCCCTCATATTCCTTCCCCCCAAGCTCCTGCCAGTTGCATGGCTTCGGAACCCTAATATGGAGGGAGAGGGAGGCATATTGAATTTTTGCCTTGGGCATTAAAATGTTTTGGGCTGGATCAGGATATTATTCTCACTATACAGTGAGAAAACCTGTAGTCAGCTTTAACTTCTCCCTTAGTAGATATAACCATTTCAACCTAGTATATCTCTATAGATAGGGACTCTGGGGCAAGTGATGCTCTGTCTTCTTGGTGCTTCGGGGGAGGGGGGGTCAACAGTGGGAGGGCTTCTAATGTCCTGGCCCCACTGGTGGACCTCCTGATGGCACTGGTATTTCTGGCAACTGTGTGACACAGAGTGTTAGACTGGATGGTCCTTTGGCCTGATCCAACATTGGTGTCTCTTATGTTCTTATGTTCTTATCTCCTCTCCTGAGGAGACAAAGGGAGCCAATAGCAGATATTTAATTAAGACAACAAGGAATATAAGGAGAAATGAAGAAAAAGAAGTACATGAAGAGTCTGGAAAGCTGAGGTGGATTAGAAATCTGAAAGGAAAGGAAAGCCAGACAATGCCAGTGTGAGGACTTAAGGAGAGAGGAGGCATTGCCATGGTGCTAGAAGGCAAAGGTAACTTTAGTGTGGACAGATTCAGGTGGGGTAGCCATGTTGGTCTGAAGCAACAGAACAAAGTTTGAGTCCAGTGGCACCTTTAAAACCAACAAATTTTTAATCTGGGTGTAAGCTTTCGTGTGCAAGCACACGTCTGGCAACTTTTTGTTGTTCAGTCGCACAGTCGAGTCCGACTCTTCGCAACCCCATGGACCAGATCACGCCAGGCCTTCCTGTCTTCCGCCGTCCTCTGAAGTTTGTTCAATTTCATGTTCGTTGCATCTATGACACTGTCTAACCATCTCATTCTTTGCCGTCCCGGTCTCCTTTGACCTTCAGTCTTTCCCAGCATCAGGGTCTTCTCCAGTGAGTGCTCCCTTCTCATTTGGTGGCCAAAGTATTTGAGCTTCAGTTTCATTATCTGGCCTTCCAGGGAACAGTCAGGGTTGATTTCTTTTAGGATTGACTGATTTGTTCTTCTTGCAGTCCAAGGGACTCTCAAAAGTTTTCTCCAGCATCATAGTTCAAAAGAATCAATGCAATGGTTGGCAAAGTCTGATTCAGTGTGTCTGAAACAGTGTGCATGCATACTAATGCTTATACCCAGAATTAAACTTTATTGGTCTTAAAAGGTGCCACTGGACCCGAACTTTGTTGAGTGTGAACAGTTGTTCTGAATTTACTGGAGGTGTGGCATGTGGGCAGGCCAGGCCAACAAGGAGAAGCTGCAGTAAAGACTGGGATCAGGTTACATGTTTGCAAGGAAGAAAGGACAGGGCTGCGGCTTAGCGGCAGAGCATCCACTTTGCACCATCAAGGTCCCAGGTTCAGCCTCTGGCATCTGCAATTACAAGGATTAATCAGGCAGTAGGTGAGGTTGAAAGACCCTGGAGACCCTCTGTCAGTCTGATTAGATAACGCTGACCTTGGTGGATCAAGGGCTGACTCAACATAAGGCACAGCATGGTGTTCTTGTGTATTTTTCATGAACATTTAGTTTTCCTCCTTAAGGAAAATAGTAGAGCCCTTCTCAAGCCATGGTAAGAGCTCTTCATGTATTCATAAGAAGGATGGTGAGACAGTAGGATTACACCCATTCAGACATTAGCCTCCCCACCACCACCACCTTCATGTTTGTGGCATAAGATGACAGATTGAGATGGATGCAGATGGGAGTTCCATGTCCTTACAGCCAATCTCGTGGCAAGGAGTCACGAGGTCTACGCGAGGCAGAATCCATGTGCTTATGTGCCATTTCGGTGTTGCGTAAGAAGTGCTGAAGGGAGGCCGGGTGCAATCTCACAGCCCCACCATGCAAATGTGTACATCGGCTCTGAAAGTCTACTTTTCCTGGGCATCCACTGTCCATCTTACGAGAACCAGTGTGGGTAAAAGTGTTGGATGAGGACAACTGAGGTTCAAATCCCAAATCACGCTGGAAAGTCCCGAAGTGATCTTGGGCTAGTCACTTTCAGATCAGTTATAGGGATTTTCTTCTCCTCTAGCCGGAGGTCCCACCTAGCGGGTTTGGTGTTCCCCTTCATCCACCCGGAAAGGAGTTTCACCGGCAAGCAGTCAATGTCCTTAAAGAACAGAACCACCTGTTGATCAAGGTAACATAAAACATGACCTGGCTTTTCTTTTTTTAAAAAAAACTGAGAAGTGTTTCGTCACATTTCTAATAGGCAAGATCTGGGCCTATCCCAGTGCGTCTCTTGGGGCTAGCCCTACGGCAAGGCAATCTCCTCAAGCCTAGACCGAGAGGAGCATTCCAAGGAATGTGCCTGACCCCCGGAAACTCAGCCCCTGTATACCACTCTCAGGCAAGATGAAAAAGCAACACTGCTTTCATATCAAGTGAATAATGAGTTTATAGTATGGCAGTGAGTAAGTCCCATAACTGAACAGCTGCCATTGGACTGCAGGGGGGAGACATTATGCAAGCAAGATTTATTTGTTTAAGACTAACATTTCTTTGCAATCTGGAAACTGTTTTGAAACATAATAGTCAGTTTATTGCACATCCCACTGCTCAACATGTTGACAGTCTTTTTGAAAAAACAACTATGCATCAGTGGTGTAGCCAGAAATTTTTGATTGGTGGGCACTGGAAAATCTGGGGGGGGGGAGCAGGGGGGAGAGAGGGGGGGGGAGTGTGTGTGTGAGAGAGACCACATCAGCAGGTGGCCACTGCGTTCTTTCCAGCTCGTGTGGGAGCACCAGCCGTACTTCTTTGCCTTGCATCCGAGTTCCCATTCTGTGCATGGCTCAGCTGCACTTTTTCGGGGCTGTGGATTCCTCTCCCCCCCCTTCTGCACTAGGCAACCGCCCTCCTCTTGCTGGCTCACTGCCCCCTGCCTGTGCCCTTGCCGCAGAGGGAGGAACCCCCCCCCCAAGCCAAGACCACAGTGGAAGCTTAGCTGAGTTAGTGTGAGCCAGCTCACAGTTTTTTAGACTCTGGCTCACACATCTTTGTCTTCGCTCAGGAAGGATGGCTCCGGAGCAAATGAATTTGGGAGGAGAGCCGGTTGGAATGTGCTCTCTGTTGCAGAGCAGAGAGCACTCCAGCTGGGTCTCCTTCTCCTGTAGCAAGGCAAATGAGTACAACCAGTGCTCCCACCTTCTGGGGGTGGGGCAGGGCTTACGACTGAAGGGGTGTGGCCCCAAAATGCCCCACTGTAGCTATGACCCTGTTACGCGTCAGTAATATAGATCTAGGCTGGCTCTAGCAGGTAAAGACACCCTCAATGGTCTTCTCCAGCTGGTGAGAGTTGAGGACCAGAACTAAGAATAAATCTAGACCCCCTCCCCTTCCTCTGCAAACAGTAGAAGAAGAAGAAGAGATTGGATGCAGGGCTTACGACTGAGGGGCGTGGCCCCAAAATGCCCCACCGTAGCTATGACCCTGTTATGTGTCAGTAATATAGATCTAGGCTGGCTGTAGCAGGTAAAGACACCCTCAATGGACTTCTCCAGCTGGTGGGAGGTGAGGACCAGAACTAAGAATAAATCCAGACCCCCTCCCCTTCCTATGCAAGAAGAAGAAGAAGAGGAGGAGAAGGAGGAGGAGGAGGAGGAGGAGACTGGATTTATACCCCACCCTTCACTACCCAGAGGAGTCTCAGGGCGTCTTACAAACTCCTTTCCCTTCCCCTCCCCACAACAGACAACCCTGTGAGGTAGGTGGGGCTGAGAGAGCTCTGACAAACTGGCTCCACTACACCTAACCACTACACCAAACTGGCTCCACTACACCTAACCACTACACCAAACTGGCTCCACTACACCTAACCACTACACCAAACTGGCTCCACTACACCTAACCACTACACCAAACTGGCTCCACTACACCTAACCACTACACCAAACTGGCTCCACTACACCTAACCACTACACCAAACTGGCTCCACTACACCTAACCACTACACCAAACTGGCGCACCTAACCACTACACCAAACTGACTCCAACATAGTGCAGGACACCAACTTAGTGCGGGACATGTATTTGTTCATGATCCCTCACTTTGCACAGTTTGCACTCCTTGGGAGAAGTTTGCCTGACAGAAATGTCTCCGAGTATATGGGGCACAGTGGCTTGAATAACCTTGTGAGAGTCTGGAAGCTAAGCAGGGTCAGCCCTGGTTACCACTTGGATGGGAGGCCACCAAGGAAGTCCAGGGCTGCTACGCAGAGGCAGGCAAAGACAAACCACTTCTGCTTGTCTCTTGCCCTGAAACCCCCAAGGGGGCGCCACTCGCCCTAAGTTGGCTGCGCCTTGACTGTGCTTTCCACCACCAGAGCTAGTTACAGAACCACAGAGTTGGAGGTGCCCCCAAAAGCCCCCGCCCTCTCCCCCCCTCCCCCCCCCCCCCGTCTGAAGGACTGGACTATCAGCTAATTAGCATCCCTCTTCCAGTCCTGACTGTGCACTACAGAAAAACAGATGCCGTGCCAAAAGGCGCCTGCCAGAGTGCGTAGCTCCAGACAAGTCAAAGAAGTGAGCCAAGCCATCCACTATAGGCCAGAGCAGAATATCTGTGCATCTTCGTGACACTGTAATCGTGTAGCCACTTTTTCCATCGGAAAAATTGACAAAAAGCCCTGGGGGGGGGGGATATGGGAAATAAACCCAGTTTTAATTAATCCTGAATTTTCCCAGGTGGGAGGGCCCTTCACACCTCTTGAAGTAGGGGAACAGATCCAGGGGGCTTTGTAGAGCCGGGCAACTGATGCAATATGACGTCTGGGGTGAAATCTGGGGTGGGATGAGAGAGGCCAGGAGGTCATCTTTGGATGGGTGGGGCTGTGATGACTCCCAGCATTCCTGGCCATAATCCTTGATGTCTGTCCCGCTCCGCAGGAAGTGTCTGAGAAAAGTGACCGCATTGCCCAGCTGGAGCAAGAGAAAGCAGCCCTTTGCAAGCAGCTGAAAGAGATCCGGGGCTACCGCCTCCCCAGCCACAAGGAGTCCACCTTCATCTGACAATTGAGGTTGCTTCCTCTTGAAGCCGGACACGATGTCCTGCCTCTTTGGTATTTATAGAGCACTTTCTCCCCTGGCTACAACTTCGGAGAGATCATTTCCTTTTGCAGAATCCAGGCCAAAGGACAATCAGTATTTCTGGCCTCTCTTTTCCATGCAAGGAGTTTGCCATCGTCGTCTCTTTTATGCCAGCTCATCACCTCAGCAAACAGAGCTTCTGCCTTGCCTTGGATTTGTGGACATAGATTTGAATCCCTATCTTGTGTCCTTCTCCCATTCAGCAATAGCCCAAATTGTGCATGATAGGGGAAAAAATATACACAAAAGAGACAGTGTAGAATTGTTCTCAGATTGCATAGCTACCTAAATTATTTGGAGGCCGGGCTGAAGATATTCTGGGACACTGGATTGCGATGGAAACAGTTACTGGGATTCATACAGAATCACAGGTGGGAAGAAATACTCTGTGGATTTATAACCAGAGGGTAGGTTTGAACAGTGGGCTGTTCTGTGTCTGCCCCACTCCTGATCTGCCAACAAATTTGGAAGTTTCTCCCAAGCTAGGAGGGGCCAGGAACGTCAATTTTAACAAACAGTGTAGGATTTTGTATTAAGATGTGAAATTTGAAACACAGCCACAATTGCAGTCTTGCAGTGTTCCAGAACCCACACTATGGCGTCTCTTTGGTTGACATCACTTTCTCCTGTATTCTTAACTGCACACTGCCCCCTAGAGGTTGTGTGATATTATTTCCTTCATGCTTACACTGCTCTCCTGCCATTGGAAAATAAGGCCTTCCTGCAGAGGCTACACATGGCAGCCACTGTTCCCTCTAAGCTGAGTTAGTGTGAGCTACCTCACAGTTTTTTTAGCCTCCGGCTCACACATTTTTGTCTTAGCTCAGGAAGGATGGCTCCAGAGCAAACTGATTTATGCAGCAGCCAAACCGCCTGCTCACAGTTTTAATGCCAGTAGCTCACAAAGTTGAATTTTTGTTCACAAGACTCCACAGCTTAGAGGGAACATTGGCAGCTCTCTTTGGCTGCCTCAGACTAGGCCTCCTCTCTTCTAATATTTTTACAGCGCGCTTAATAAGCAACCATTTAAGTCATCTTGTTCTTCAGCCTCACATCAAGCCAGTGCCGTTATTCCCATTCTACAGTTCAAGGAACTGAGGTTGCCAGAGCATTCCTTTTGCATGAGCAAGAATACGAATCCATCTCCATGTCTAGTCCTCATAAACATTGGGCCCCTCAGCTGTATGGATATACTTCCTTTTACTGAAGACTCATTACATCGAGGTGCCCTTTATTCTTAAAAAGTTACCAGAATTTACAGGGTACGAGTTTGAAACTCCTGTCATCTGACTTAAAACCTCATACCCTGAAAATTCTGTTGGTCTCGAAGGTGCTACTGGACTCAAATTTAATATTTAATCATAGTTACTCTTTCTAATTTTGTTTTCCTCTGAGTCACGTTCTAGCTGATATCACAGGACTAGAGTGGACAAGCTCAGCAAAATATCAGATATCAGACGTAAAAGCAAAATACCCAATGAGCAGCTCAATTTTTGTGACCATGGACAGCCCTGAAAGGTGAGAAGTAGCATCTGCTATTACCAAGCAGTATTTTTAGGTCTGATATATCTGATAATTGTGCTGGACAAACCTGAGGATTTAATAGGATATTTTCCTCATTTCATGGATTCCTCCCCTCACTAACTCGATCCACTTCCATGAATCACTGGCTCCCCCTACTGGCTTGAACAAGCATAACAAGCAGCTTCCTGCAGTTAAGTAGAAAGTTAGGTGTCCGAAGAAGTGAGCAGTGGCTCAGGAAAGCTCCTACCCTGCCACAAATTTTGTCAAGTCTTTAAGGCACTACTGTTTTGTACTGCTACAGTTAAGTAAGTATCCTTCCTGAGACCTTGCAGACCAACAGGCTTTATCAAAGCACACACTCTCAGGAGCTGTGGCCGACAAAAGTTTAATTGAGCACATTCAAACTTTGGCGGGCTAGACAGTTCTGTCTTTAAGGTGCTCTGTCTTTTCAATTTTTTTGCTGCATCAGCCTAATAGGGCTCCCTAGTTGAAAATGTGTTAAAAGACTGCAAAGGGTTTATTGGGGGGGGAGGAACTATGTACATTGGGGCTGCCAACTCTGTTGGAAAATTCCTGGAGATTTGGGGGTGGGGATCTCAGTAGGGCATCATGCCATCGAGTACACCCTCCAAAGTAGCCATTTCCTGAGGGAGATCAGTTGTAATACCAGGCCCCACCTGGCAGCCAATGCTCCCTATAAGCTGTGGAGTCCTGTGAGCAAAAATTCTGCTTTGTGGGCTGCTGGCATTAAAGCTACGAGTGAGCAATTTGGCTCCTGCATAAGTTAGTTTGCTCTGGAGCCATTCTTCCTGGGCTAAGACAAAAATATGTGAGCCGGAGGCTAAAAAACTGAGCTAGCTCACACTAGCTCAGCTTAGAGGGAACACTGCCTGGCAGTCAAGTTATATTACATTTTAACTACATGTTGATCTCTTGACTTTTCCTCTTCAAATTGCACTCATATCCCTCCTTCCCGTATGAAAGACTGTGTGTTTCATTCTACTGTTTTCGCATAGCAAAGGATTGCAGTTAAATGTGTGATTAAAGGACAGACTTATTTAAATATGTGCACTTATTTTAACGTGCTGCCCTACTTCCAAAGTCCACCCCCCACCCCCAACAAAAGAGAAACAGTACTTTGGTGCGGTAATTTAGCAATAAAGGAAGCAAATGTTTCACTTCAGATTTCGACTTTATTCATTGAAATGTGCTTTTTAAAAAATGTTTGCCTGGCATTAAGAGACGTCCACCTTTGAAAACCCGGGGAAGGGGGAAACAACTTTCTCATCTAGCAAAATGGTAACATGGGGAAATAAAAAAATAATTTGCATTAAAATAGACAGCTTTAGATCAGTAGGCAAAAGGTGCAGATCAGCTTTAATTTCCAGAAACAGGACCAAAAGGAATTATTGGGGGGGGGGAGGTTTCCACGTACTCAAGAAGAATACTCTCGATTAGAATGCATCGGAGGAACTGAGCTCGGACACTCCAAATCCTGCGCTGAAATAGATGGTGGTGGATTTCGTCTAATCCCCTTTCCTAGCAAGTTACACAGATTACTGTTCTCTCTTTGTGGTATGTGCAAGAACACGTTTACACAGGATTCAGACTGCCAACTACTTACATACATGCAATAAAAATCCAGATTCTAGACTCCACCCCCACCCCCCCAAGACTGGAATTCATCAACCCGTTCTAGAGCATGTGCACACAGGGCTTTGAGGAGGTGTCAGAACTCCTGTCTTGCCTTCGTTCGGACATGCGCCACATTGACAGAAAACTCTTTACCACAACCGGATACCTCCTTGAAATGATAAAAGTTCCTGTCTTGGGGGGGGGGGGGGGGGGGGGGAGTCTACTGTGCAGCTTGCTATGGGATTCATGTAATAGTTCCTCTCTGAATTCAGAAACGAAACAGCAGTTCTCCTGGGATGCTCAGCATTACAGATGGATCAGAATCAGATGGAGTCCCCAACAATCAGCAGACAGCCACGTCGGGCTACAGGAGAACAGTTGTAACATTCAAGTCCACGAGCAGCTTAGAGACCAACAAGAATTTCAGGGCGTAAAGCTTTGCAGAGCCAAAGCTCCCTTCTTCAGACCTTCTGACAAAGGAAACTGACTCTTGAAAGCGTATGCTCTGCAACCATCTTTTTTTGTTTCTAAGGTGCTACTGAACTCAATTTGACGTGTCCCCAAAATCAGTGACTGTGGGGATCCTCCAGTCATTTCATCCTTAAAGCCAGCTGTCCCAGCAAGCAGCTCAGAGCCAAAATTAAGTGGCAGCCAACCTGGATTGTTTCACCCCCACCAGCAGGAACTCATTAGCATCACATTAGTGCGCAATATTGCACATCACTTAATTGTACAAAGGACAAGGCAATTGAACGTATGAGCTGACTAAATGCATTCCTCTCAAGGTGATGCAATGTGACATAACGTTTATCTGTGGCAGGCCATTTATGCACCAGTCACATAGTGAGTACACGTGTGCAAAGCAGACCTGCCTTCTGCCAGGATACGCATGTTTCCACGTATGTGCCTCGCATGCAATTTCCCTTCTCACTCTGAAGATGTCATGGAGAAACTGGATTCCCAGCCACTCTCCCCTCCCTACACTGACCAGGCCAAAGGCTGGTTGTGCCTTCAGATCATTTTTATAGTGGTAAAAAGGTCACAGTGGGGTAGGAGGGCAGAGGAATCATTCCAGTCAAACCGTGTTTCTGCCAGTCCTGACAAAGACCCTCAGTTTACATTGACACACATTCTCTCTCTCTCTCTCTCTCTCTCTCTTCATTAGGGGCATTTCCACAAAGGTTATTTGATCTGGGTTTGACACTCTTGGGGAAGCGGGTTTCTTTCTTTCTTGTGCAGAGCACCATGGCACATTCATGCTCTTCCTGGGGTTTCCCCAGCTTTCCCCCAAACATGCCCTGTGGCAAAGTTTTGGGAAAGATCACAGTAGAGTCTGGAATGGCTGCCATATAGGAGGGAACATTTCCCCCACAGCGGTTGTTTTCCTCCACCCACCACAGGAAGCCATTTAAATTTTTTAAAATCAGCAGCTGAATATTGTTATACCAATAGAATGCTATAGCAGTATGTGCAACACATTCAAACGACAACAAAAAAGTCAGTCTATAGCCTCTTTTGTTGTAGAGATATAAGGGTAAAGGCATATTTCCATTAAAAAAAAGGCTACAGCAAGGGCACACTGGCCAGTTTGGTGTAGTGGTTAACAGCGCGGACCGGGTTGGATTCCCCACTCCTCCACATGCAGCTGCTGGTGTGACCTTGGGTCAATCACAAGTTCTTTCAGAGCTATTATCTCAACGGCAGTTCTCAAAAGAGCTCTCTCAGCCCCACCTACCTCACAGGGTGTCTGTTGTGGGGAGAGGAAGGGAAGGAGATTGTAAGCTGCTCTGAGACTCCTTTGGGTCGTGAACAGCAGGGTATAAATCCAATCTCTTCTTCTTCATCATCATGACTTCTGATGGCCTCCCGCCTACCTGGATAATGCCAGCCCCTGCAAGGGGGAGGTGGCACCCACCAGGCCCTTGCTGGGCCCAACTGGTGGACCTCCTGATGGCAGCTGGGTTTTGGCCACTGTGTGAAGGAGTGTTGGACTGGATGGGCCATTGGCCTGATCCAACATGGCTTCTCTTATGTTCTTATGAGGGGAAGCCAGTGCCTCCGAAGCCCACACGCGTCCCTCACACAGCAAGAGATCAGGCGATGCCCAACTAACTCTAGAAGGGCAAGAGGCAGGTGGTGCCGCCATACTTTCACACAACTTGGCTGGTGGTGGGGAAGGCAGCACCCATCCAAGATGGGCAGGCAGGCTGCCCCCTCCCTCCGCGGGACGAGGGGGACAGGCTGGGCTGGCGGCTGGGCAGGCACACACAAAGCTGCCCTCTACGGAATCTGGCCTTTGGTCCCTCCAAGTCAGGACTGCCTACTCAGACTGGCAGCTGCTCTCCGAGGTCTCAGGCAGAGATCTTTCGCATCACCTGGTCCTTTTAACTGGAGATGTTGGGGATTGAACACAGGACCTTCTGCATGCCAAACAGATGCTCTACCACTGAGCCACGGCAGTCATGGGGGGGGGGAGTTCCACCGCTAGGGGACTACCCGAAACTGTGAGGAACCCTGCCCTGTGCAAGCCCCCGGGGCAAAAGCACTGTGCCAGCAGCCGCAGCAGCAACAGGGGAAACAACACGTGGCTGCATGGTAAGCTCCCGGTACACATCACTGATCACTCTCCCTCCCTCCCCTTCTTCAACTTTATTTTGCTCCTAGAAGGCACGATGACAGAAAGCGGTGACGTTAGCAGAAATGAAGAGCTGGGATCTCTCTCACTCCATCATCCCCCCAAAGTCTAACCTGTTTGGGCGGGACCTTCGGGACTCGGCGTCAAGTCAGGCAAGGCAATTGTGGAGCCGAATCAGATGACATTGTATGCCTTTGCTAATGATGCCTGTGGAAGACCGGGCAGGCAGCAGGCCTGGACAGGCAGTCATGGAGCCAGGGACAGCAAAATCCTTGGCCATTCAAGGAATCCGAGATGGTGTGTTATGGGGGAGGGGGCAGAGATGAGGACAGATCCGATAAGTGGGGACGGGAACCCAGGGAGGGGTAAGGCCTGTCGTGGCCAGAGAAGAGATTGGATTTATACCCCACCCTTCACTACCCGAAGGAGTCCCTTCCCCTCCCCACAACAGACACCCTGTGACCTAGGTGGGGCTGAGAGAGCTCTTTTGAGAAGTGCCCTTGAGAGAACAGCTCTGAGAGAACTTGTGACTGACCCAAGGTCACACCAGCAGCTGCATATGAAGGAGTGGGGAATCCAACCCGGTTCTCCCAGATTAGAGTCCACCACTCTTAATCACTACACTAAACTGGCTCTCAAGTCAAGAGTTAAGTCAAGAGGGCAACCGTGAGCCAGCCAGGGAGAACAATGTCGTTGGACACCAATGTGGAAGGAGCAGCATGAAGAGAAGCCAGGCTACTGGAGTTCCGATAAACATTCATTCGAATTCTGAGCTTAAAAGGGGGAGGGGCTAGATTTGAGTCCAACAGCACCTTAGAGACCAACAAGGATTCTGGGGTATGAGCTTTGGAGAGCCAAAGGGAGCCTTGAGTCTCGAAAGCTTCTGCCCCGGAAACCTTGTTGGTCTCTGAGGTGCTGCTGGACTTGAAACTAGCTCCTCTACTGCCGGCCAACACAGCTACCCTACTGAAACTATCTTAAAGGGGAAGCCTTAAAAGGGAAGACCAGTCACCAGGAAGGGTGATTTGAAGCAGACTAAAGGCGGCAGATCCACCTGCACTCACCCAACAAAACCAAATAGTAGCCGGACTAAAGGCGGCAGATCCACCTGCAGTGACAGCGCACTCACCCAACAAAACCAAATAGTAGCATGATTTAGTCCAGGCAAAAAGAAGCTGCTTTGAGGAACCTCTTTGGCAAGAAGACGAAGAAGAGGAGGAGGAGTAGTAGTTTGGCCCTTTGGCAAGAAGACGAAGAGGAGTAGTAGTAGTAGTTTGGATTTATACCCCGCCCTTCACTACCTGAAGGAGTCTCGGAGCAGCTTACAATCTCCTTTCCCTTCCCCTCCCCTCAACAGACACCCTGTGGGGTAGGGGGGGCTGAGAGAACATAAGAACATAAGAGACGCCAATGTTGGATCAGGCCAAAGGCCCATCCAGTCCAACACTCTGTGTCACACAGTGGCCAGAAATACCAGGTGCCATCAGGAGGTCCAGCAGTGGGGCCAGGACATTAGAAGCCCCCCCCACTGTTGACCCCCCCCCCCAAGCACCAAGAAGACAGAGCATCACTTGCCCCAGAGCCCCTATCTATACCTTGTGGCTAATAGCCACTGATGGACCTCTGCTCCATATGCTTATCTAATTCCCTTTTGAAGCCATCCATGCTTGTAGCACCCACCACTTCCTGTGGCAGTGAATTCCATGTGTTAATCACTCTCATTTGATGACTGCCGGTGAAAGAACAACTCTGAGAGAATTTATGACTGACCCAAGGTCACACCAGCAGCTGCATGTGAAGGAGGAGTGGGGGAATCAAACCCGGTTCTCCCAGATTAGAGTCCGCGCTCCTAACCACTACACCGAACTGGCTCTCAAAGGCTGGAAGTCTGGAAACAGCTGGAAGTCTGGTGAGAATCGCGCCCCGAGCTATTTAGTGACTTGTGTTTGAATGCATGTCACAGAATCTGTCTGTGCTGCTGTGGTCATGCCGATTTCACGAGGCAGGCATAAATGGATGCTACGCTAACAGGAGTGCAGACAAGGTGCAGCCTTTTCCTCGGGAGGCCGACTTTTTAGAGAGATGTAACCCATCCCCTTGAACGCGTGCACTCTCTTCTTCACGTGCCATCAATTCTTGTATTGGGCTTCTTGCTGAGATATGTGCAGGAGGAGGAATCTTCCTGGCCAGCCGGGGCTCCCAGAGGCCACAGCCAGGCAGTTGACGGCATGCTGAGCAGCGGGAGGAAAGAGCCGCGGAGCAGTTGGGCTGAATGAGGCTGATGGAATCACAGGGGGGTGGGTGGGATTCAAACAGACGTGTGCTCACTCCGCAGGAATCAAAGGAGACAGGAAACATGTAAGGCAAGACACTTTCGGGGCGGGGGAGAAAGCGGCTCAAAATGTGGCTGGTGAGCACAGCTGGTCAGAAATGGGGGGTAGTAGTGCAGTAGCCGCGAGTTCGGGTCCTGCCCCGGTCACTGCCATGCTCTGCACTGGGAGCAGCCACAGTTCTGGTTTGTTTGCAGAAGGGACCGGTCCCCCCCCCCCCAGCAGGACCTTGGACAGCAGACAAGACAACAGACCTCGGAGAGAGCAGGCAATTCCGGTCTGGGTTGCGGTATCAGCCGTTTCGTCTCTCTCTCGTTCCTTCTGCAAGAGCAGCAAAGACGTTAAGGATGGATCGCCGGCTGAGTCACTGAGTCCGGACTGGAATGCAGCTTGAGGGTCAGGCAAGAGGGCGGAGTCCTCGGTTTCTTCCTGGTCGGCCACCAGTGGCCCTTGCAGAACACCAGACGTCCCTCCTGGGGCCAGTCTCCTGCTCCGCGCATCGTGGGAGCCCAGAATTTAGGGACTCCCCTTTTACTTAGCATTTCTTTTCAAGCCCACTGATTTAGCCCGCAATTTGCCGAAATGCCAAATTCTCAGAGCCGAAGGCAGCTTCGACAACAAGCGCCCCCGCCCATGCATCACAACACACCTTTTCCCTGAAGTCTCACAGAGCTGAACAGGTTACCAGGAAAGCAACCAACACTTGCCACCAGGGGGCGATAACAGCAGCAGCAGCAGCTCCCCTGCTAGGAGTTTCAGGCAGTGTCGAACCCACCACTTTCCCAGGAACTTCTCGGGGCGCTTCCACCCGGCACCGATACTTTTCCCCGAGCCGGTTGGTGACCACCAGCGTGGCCTCCCGCGAGCAGCAGTCTGAGGTGTAGCTGACCGACTCTGCCGGCCCGTCAGCTTGGTGGGGGACCACGGCACCTCCCTCCGCCTGCACGGAGCGAACACCGGCTTCGTCCCAGATCCGCAAAGTGGCTGTCCAATGGCCTGCGTGGCACTGGAGCGGAGAAGGACCGCAGGAACCCCTGACCCAGGAGGCGTTGCAGAACGGCAACGAAAAGTTGCGTACCTGAGGGAAAGCAGCGACGAGAACTGTGTCATTATAAGACGTTCTCAAAGCAGAAAGGGGGTCGCAGGCAATGCTCCCTCTAAGCTGTGGAGTCTTGTGAGCAAAAATTCTACTTTGTGAGCCACTGGCATTAAAGTTGTGAGCAAGCGATTTGGCTGCTGCATAAATTAGTTTGCTCTGGAGCCCTCCTTCCTGAGCTGGGGGAAAAATGTGTGAGTTGGAGGCTAAAAAACTGTGAGCTAGCTCACACTAACTCAGCTTAGAGGGAACACTGGTCGCAGGTAACCCCAGGGGGGTCCAAAGTAGAGGGTTGCCAACCTCCAGGTGGTTACAGTACAGAGAGATCCACAGAAACAAGACACAATCAGAAATCCAAAACTGTGAAGTTCTAACGATGACAAACTTCCATATTAATAAAATAGCTTATTTAGTATACGCATCATGCATGTGTCTCCACAATACGACCCATAATCCATTCTCAACTCACAATATCAATAGTCCATCCTCAAATTCTCAAATACCTTCCCTAAGGACATAGGACGGTTTACCATGGCACAAGCACTCTCATCTGCTGAAGGACGTCTACAAGCACTTTCATTCATCATATATTTGATAATCTGAGAATGGACTATTGATATTGTGATTTGAGAAGGGAGTATTGATATTATCGTGGTGACGTATCCATGATATTTACGATAAATAAGCAATTTATTAATTTTGAAGCTTGTCATTGTTAGAACTTCACGGCTTTGGGTTTCTGGTTGCCAATCTCCAGGTGGTGGCTGGAGATCACCTGGGATTACAACTGATCTCCAGGCGACAGAGATCCGTTCCCCTGGAGAAAATGGCCCCTTTGGAAGCAGTGTCCCCTCTAAGCTGAGTGAGTGTGAGCTAGCTCACAGTTTTTTAGCCTCCGGCTCACATGTTTTTGTCTCAGCTCAGGGAGGAGGGCTCCAGAGCAAACTAATTTAGGCAGCAGCCAAATCGCTTGCCCAGCACTTTTAATGCCAGTAGCTCACAAAGTAGAATTTTTGCTCACAAGACTCCCCAGCTTAGAGGGAGCATTGTTTGGAAGGTGGACTCCATGGCACTGTACCCCACTGAATGCCCCCCTCCTCAAACCCCGTCTTCCCCAGGCTCCATCCCCAAATCTCCCAAGCCAGAGCTCACAACACTAAAGCCAAAGCCAAAAGTCATCTCACACCTTTTATGAGGCCCAACTCAAGTGACACTGAACTCTTGAGCTGTCCAGAACTCTCCATCAGGTTGGGGTTTAAGAGGAAAAATATCCCAGGTCGTGATGTTTAGCCTTTTGCCTTGTAAGTGTCGCTTGCTCAGCGTCCCACACAGGATGCTTACCAGGCAGGGACCCTAAGATTCTGGGCTGAGACGTCTGACCTTCTCCCCCTGCCCATTTGTTTTTCTCAAACATCCAGCTGGATGAAAAGTTTTGGAGAACTCAGAAGGTTGCGCGCCTTGGAGGGCACACAGGGCTGGGCTTGGGAACCGGGCTGGAAACTCGTCCACAAAAGATCATTTAATGTCAGTAAAGAACCCTTTCGCAATCTGTCCGAGCGGTGCTTGCTTCTAACAACTCATCCCCCGTGCTCCTCTACCCCAGGGCCCCCCAATGTGGAGCCCAACAAACACCTTTGCTGGTGCCCCCAAGTGATTTCAGAAAGTGGGCGGGTTCACAGGTGGAGCATTTGCACAGTAGGGTTTCTGATTGGCTGGGCAGATGAAAAGGCATCCTGTTAAACAGAGCTTCTGCCTACTCCATGGCACTGTACCCCACTGAATGCTCCCCCCTCCTCAAATGCTCCCCCCTCCCCGTCTTCCCCAGGCTCCATCCCCAAATCTCCCAAGCCAGAGCTCACAACACTAAAGCCAAAGCCAAAAGTCATCTCACACCTTTAATGAGGCCCAACTTAAGTGACACTGAACTCTTGAGCTGTCCAGAACTCTCCATCAGGTTGGGGTTTAAGAGGAAAAATATCCCAGGTCGTGATGTTTAGCCTTTTGCCTTGTAAGTGTCGCTTGCTCAGCGTCCCACACAGGATGCTTACCAGGCAGGGACCCTAAGATTCTGGGCTGAGACGTCTGACCTTCTCCCCCTGCCCATTTGTTTTTCTCAAACATCCAGCTGGATGAAAAGTTTTGGAGAACCCAGAAGGCTGCGCGCCTTGGAGGGCAGACAGGGCTGGGCTAGGGAACAGGGCTGGAAACTCACGGGCTAGACCAGATCGGAGGAGACCGTCCACAAAAGATCATTTAATGTCCGTAAAGAACCCTTTCACAATCTGTCCGAGCGGTGCTTGCTTCTAATAACTCATCCCCCGTGCTCCTCTACCCCAGGGGCCCCCAATGTGGAGCCCAACGAACACCTTTGCTGGTGCCCCCAAGTGATTTCAGAAAGTGGGCGGGTTCACAGGTGGAGCATTTGCACAGTAGGGTTTCTGATTGGCTGGGCAGATGAAAAGGCATCCTGTTAAACAGAGCTTCTGCCTGTAATGTGGAGGAGTTACTATCAAAGTTATACATAACTTCACTCCCTGACATTTTGAAGTTGGCTCCACCTTGGCTGGCAGCCATTTTTTTGCGGTTGTGCCCATCACCCTGTGTCAGAACCCCAAAGGTGCCCACAGGCTCAAAAGGGCTGGAGACCCCTGCTCCACCCCAAGACTTACTGGAGGGGGTGGCATCACCAGCAAGTGGATATGGGCAAACGTAGGATCCCCCGCTGGGTGCAGAGAACCGGCTTGCAGGGTGATGGTGATCACCGAGCCAGGAACAGCGGCGCCCGGTACCTGAAGAGTGATCTGCCCTGTCTCAGTTTCGTTAAGGCCTAACCGTAGCCTGTGGAGAACAGGAAAGGAGATTAGAGATGGCAATATGGATGGACAGTGACAATTCATAGACTGTGTGCTCAGGTTGGGTCTGGGATCCCCATCAGGCGTGAGCAATGCTCCCTCTAAGCTGTGGAGTCCTGTGAGGAAAAATTCTACTTTGTGAGCTACTGGCATTAAAGTTGGGAGTGAGTGATTGGGAAGGAGAGGGGTTTAAGCCACCCAGATCCTCTTCTTTCCCAGGACTGGCTTCCCGTTGGCTCCCTCTCTTAGGCCCTCTTTTCCGCCTTGGCTGGGCACCCTGCCTTCCCTTTTATGGGATTCCCGGGCCCTTCCCCCTGCTCCACCTGGGAGGTTATAAAAGGAAAGGGAAGCCTTCCCTGCCTCCCTGCCCTGCTCCTTCCCCTGGCTGCTCAGGGCTGCCACTTAGCCTCTCCCTCTAAGCTCCCTCTAAGCTGTTGAGTCCTGTGAGGAAAAATTCTCTTCCCATCCTGTGAGGAAAAATTCTCTTCCCATCCTGTGAGGAAAAATTCTCTTCCCATCCTGGCCTTCCCCATGCCCGGACTTGACCTGGCCTTCTGACCGTGCCCCTCCCTCCCTGGCTCCCCACTGCCCCCTGCTCCCAGCCTTCCTCGTATGAGTGACTGAGGCGCAGGCCCGTAGCAACCACGGGCCCCACGGGGCCTGGCCCCCGAGTGGTTTTTATGGGCCATACTAAATTATTATTATCATATGCCATGATAATAATACAGGCAGGAGATCCTAAGATTGTCTAGCAGGGAGAAGTTCTGGCTCTTTATCATTGTGCACCACTAAATTGGCGAGCTTGACCTGTTTTTCAGGCAAGAGATGTTTCAGAGGTGGTCTGCCATCTCCTGCCTCTGTGTCACAACCCTGGCACTACTTGGAGGTCGTCCATCCAAATACTAGCCAAGGCCAACCCTGCTTAGCTTTCGAGAGCTGATGAGATCAGTCCAGCCTGGGCTATCCAGGTCGTAGAATCATAGAGTTGGAAGGGATCTCTAGGGTCATCTAGTCCAACCCCCTGAACAATGCAAGAACTTCACAAATACCTCCCCCTCAGACACCCCCAGTGACCCCTGCTCCATGCCCAGAAGATGGGGGAAAACCCACTCCAGGAGCCCTGGCCAAATTGGCCTGGAGAAAATTGCTCTCTGACCCCAAAGTGGTGATCAGCATTTCCCTGGGCGTGTAAGAAAGGGCCACTCGAACTCAGCACTGAGGCAGCCCTTCCTGCCCTCCCTCTCATGATCTGCCCAAGTTCACAGAATCTGCATTGCTGTCAGATGGTCATCTCGCACCTCTGTTTGAAAACCTCCAAAAGAGGAGAGCCCCCCCCCCCACCTCCCGAGGAAGCCTGTAACCGCTCTAACTGTCAGGTGGTTCTTCCTGATGTTTAGCCTTTTGAAACTCTTTTCAGGGCACACATCTGACTGTTACTCAGGGCGGGGACTCCAGAACCAACCTCTGCATTCCTTAGCATGTGAATCGGCTGAGAGATCAGATCAACTCCTAATACAGAAACTGGCTTCTTCCAATGCAGACTTATTCCCCGGAATTACCTGGAGCTGGAGATGTTAACCGGGAGCTGGGGAACACTGCTCGCCTTCAGACCGTACTGCTTGAGTGAACCCGGATTTGTCAGCTTCCAGGTGACGGAAACCGGCTTCCCTGGGAACACAGGAGTGTCTCTGCTCAGCTAGAACAAACCAGGGGGCAGGTTATAGAACTTGGGCTGGAGCCAGAGCTCTCAAAGCATGAGGGGAGAGCAGGGGCTAGGCCAGGGGTCCCCGGCGGGGGCTCGTGGGCACCGTGGTGCCTACCAACACCTTTCCCAGGGCCAGCCTAGTGTTTTTAGATTAGAATGTGGGCAGGGCCAGGTGGGGCTTTTGCCCAGCAAGGATTCTGATTGGCCATTGGAGATCTGACTGGCTTTGGCAGCAGCTGCCACCAGAACACAAGGATCTTCACTGTGTGACTGAAGGTAAGCTCTGGTGGCCATTTTGTGGCTGATTCTTCTGCCTCCTGTGGCAGCCATTTTGTGGCAGCCCCCATTCAGACTGTGTCAGGATTCCAAAGTTGCCCCCAGGCTCAAAAAGGTTGGGAATCCCTGGCTATGTGTTCATACATTGAAGGGGAGTAGTGTGCAGATTTTAATGTATGATGCAGGGAGAGGATCTGAGCCTTCCCCCAATGTCAGGAGAACACAGAAGTGTTATAGAAGTGTGAGGAGAAATAAAAACTGATATATATTGTTTAAATGGTTTAATTCAGGGCTATTTTGGGGCAGGAAGGCACAGGAACGGAGTACCGTCTGGCTCCCAAGTTGGCCACACCCAGCAGGAACTCATTAGCATAATAGGCCACACCCAACAGCAGAAACTCATTAGGATTGGCTACATTAGGGGTGTGTGGCCTAACATGCAAAGGAGTTCCTGCTACAAAAAAAGCCCTGGGTTTTGACAACAAACAAGGTAAACAGAATAAGAAGCAAAAGGTGGGTGTGGCTGGATGACCACACTTCTGGTAACACGGGGATATGGCCTAATATGCTAATGAGCTGTGCTGTCATGGGTGTGGCCTAATATGCTAATGAGTTCCTGCTGTTGGGCATGGCCTATTATGCCAATGAGTTCCTGCTGGGCTTTTTCTACAAAAAAAAGCCCTGGTTTAATTATTATTATTACTATTTTGGTGTAAGGCCTCCGTGCAAATTGTGATCTGCCCTGGGCTCTTGCGGGGAGAGCAGAATGTAAATGTGAAAAATAAATAAATAAAAAGAATGAATCTTAGAACTATCAGGATGAAGAAAAGTCAAGAAGAGATAACAGAACAATCAAGCAAAATGAGACTTTCCTTGCCTTTAAAGAAGGGGGGTGGTACTGATTATTTCAGGTCACTTAAGCCCCACTGGGAGGGAGGGAAGCACATTTAATGGTTTCGCAGAGAAAGCACAGGTAGGGGAGAGGTTTGACTCCCCACATGCCTCTCCCCCGTGATGTGCTTTTAAATTCACACATCACACCCCTATGTCACTTAGTTCTGGCATGAACGTATAGCACCCTCATGTGTAGTTTGGCAAGGAGGTGGCCTCGTGTGCAATGGGGACTTGGGTTTTATTTCACTGGCAGGCCCCCTGCCCCCCAAAGGCTCATGGCGGCATGCAGACGGTTTGATTTGTACTGATCAGGAGTCAAGCGCCACAGAGCCAAACTCCTAAAATTCCACACAGGGCTGAAGCCCCACAGCACACAGGGAAGGGGAAATTAACTGAACGCCATTCCCTTCCTCTGAATCCAGCAGCCCAGAGGCTCACCCTGCCATTCCCCCCCCTTACCTCCAGCAGGGATCCCACCACGGTGGCCACCTGGGGAGCCGCTCTCTCCACCTTCCGCCCCTCGCTGTCTACACCGCGCAGGATTACTGTGAAGCTGCCGTTGGCCAACAGGGACGGAGGCAGCTTGGCCACGAACAGATCCGTCTTGTTGGCGTCTCTCTGCAAATGCATCTCCCCGAGGCTGCCTGTCTTCCCGGCCAAGTTCACGGCCTCCAGCTGAACCGAGCCGGACTCTGGTTGGCTCAAGCCCGTTGCCGTAACAACCAAGTATACCGGAACCCCTGTTTAAAATGAAGGTGGAAAGCTCGTTGGGTCCTGCTCCCACTCCCCAAAATACCAAGTGTGTGTGTGTTCTAGGGAGGTGCAATCTCTGTGGCTCTGATTACATGGGGGAAGGAGGAGAAGAAGAGTGGGTTTTTATACCCCAGTTTGGTGTCGTGGTTAGGAGCGTGGACTCTAATCTGGGAGAACCGGGTTTGATTACCCACTCCTCCTCATGCAGCTGCTGGGGTGACCTTGGGTCAGTCACAAGTTCCTTCAGAGCTGTTCTCTCAAGGGCAGCTCTCAAGCGAGCTCTCTCAGCCCCACCTACCTCACAGGGTGTCTGTTGTGAGGAGGGGAAGGGGCTATAAGCCGCTCTGAGACTCCTTTGGGTAGTGAATGGCGGGATATAAATCCAATCTCTTCTCTTCTTCTCTCTCTTCACTACCCAAAGGAGTCTCAAAGCAGCTTACAACTGCCTTCCTTTCCTCTCCCAACAAAAGATGCCCTGTGAGGTAGGTAGGGCTAATGGCATTGCATGTGGAAACTGGAAGCCAAGGCGATAGTTCTGTATCCCTCTGAGTGAGGCAGCTTCACAATAGTCAAATACTGCAATAAAGATCAAGGCGCTACAAATACAACACTGCCTGCACAAAGGCCCAGCACAGCTACTGAAGCCCAATCCCCTAAAGGTGAAAGATCCCATCCCGTACCTTCTATGGGGCTGCTGTCCATTTTCAGAAGCCCAGGGTGTCGTCCATCCACTGGAACGGCAAAGTAATGCAGGAAGTCAAGGGTGCTCTGACCTGTGAGCAAACGAGGAGAGATCTGGAACTCTGACAGGAGAGGCTCCTTCCATTTCCAACCAGGGGGCTCAAAAGGGAAGTCTGGCATCCAATAAGCCACTCTGTCCACTAGAAATCACTGGCCCTGGAGGACTGAGCAGCACATGGAATCATTCCAATGCAGAAGCTATCAGAAGATATAGGGTTGCCAACTTTCAGGTGGGGCTGGAGGTCTCCCAGAATTAGAACTGATCTCCAGACTACAGAGATCAGTACCCCCCCCCCGTAAACGGCAGCATTGGAGAGCTGGTCATGTCCCTCCCCGCCCCAAACTTTACCTCCCCCAGGCTGCACACCTAAATATCCAGGAATTTCCCAATCTAGAGTAGGAAACTCTACACAGGTAGTATCCTTGAACTGAAGATCCCAAGTACAAGCACAGAATATGAGCTCTGTAACGATTTCATCTTTAACTCTGTGTGTGTGTCTTTAAAAGTTTGGATGCATGGCTGTATGAAAGTCTAGAGTAGTGGAAACAAGCAAGTGGTGTGATTGGTGAGTGACAGAGGGGGAGGGGTTTTGGAAATGATTCTGTATGGATGAGCAAATATGTCAGTCAAGAGTTACTGTTAAGACAGTTAGTGAGATGACAGTTGTTAAGTTAAGCTATGTATGAGCTGAAGGGGAGTTAAGCCCCAAGCTATGTATGAGAGACTAGAAAAAGCTTCCCTGTGTTGAAACAGTTATAAGCTGAAGTTGAATGTATAAGAAACAGTAAACTTATATGGCCTAAGGAAAATATTGTTACAAAGTGACCTGCCCAGATCCCTGTCAGTAAGAGGGAAAAGTGTGGGCTACACCAAGCAGTTGTTCAGTATTTAAGCCTTCCTGGTTACAATGAGTTAATCTTTTATTTGTGAATTACTTCAATAAATCCTCTTTTATTCAAATATACCCACTCTGAAAGAAATACTTCCCAGAACCACATAGTACCTCGAACGCCTAAAACCCTCGACAAACCTACCCAGAAATAGAGAAAGCATAAAGGTTTGGAAATCCTTTTAAAATTTCCTGGTGGCAGCCGGATATATAGAGTAAAACAAAACAGAAGGAACATTTTAAAGTAAACCCAGACCTCCCCAGTTAAGGGGTCGTCACAAGCTCAATCACAGGTCCAATGGGAGTCTGACTCCTAGACAACCGATGCAAGAGCCCTCAAAATTCATCATATGGAAGACAAGGAGAGGTGGATGGAGCCAAGGCTGTCCCCTCAGCACAGGCTTAACGGATGGCAATGGGCAGCTGAAGCTTTTCATGGCACTGCGGCAGGGCTTTTTTTCTGAGGGAACGCGCCGGAACGGAGTTCCGGAACCTCTTCGACAAAATTCTTTTAAAGATGTTCAAAAGTTCATGAGTTTTCAGTATACAGATTGAAAACTTCATCTCCCTCTTGAGAGTTCCGGCACCTCCCCCCCCCCAAAAAAGCCCTGTATTGAGGTAAAATACCATCACCTGGCACTTAACATGTAATTATACCTCCATCAAAGGGGTGGGGGCATTTCTTTTCCAGCCTGCCGGGCACCCCAGCTGTAGAGGAGACACTCAGTTTTAAGACTCTGCTCACCCTGGATGTGTACGGAGTAGTTGCCTGTGGGATGAAGCGTCAGGGTCCATTCTCCAGGGAGGACAGGGGACAAAAGTAACACTCTGTAGATGCCTCCGATGGACTGGATCTCGGCTAAGGGACCACGAACCAGTGTAGACCTCTGGGCCGAACCTGCCGGGAAAGGCCAAACAAGGGCTGGTTGAATCATTTGGCTAACTATACGAGGATCCAGCCAAAGCTGCCACCTTTCCAGTTTTTAGTGAGAGGCTCTTAATCCAGCAAGTTTACTTGTCATCTTCTTCCTGAGGAAAAGCTTCTTGCAGTCCTTGGAAGGGTTTGACAATCACCACTTCCCTATAAAAAACTGTGGGCAGTCTGATCTGTGCATTAGCGTGTACGAGGTATTTATTGTACTTTAGTTCATTTATACCCCTGCCTCTCTCCCCAGTGGGGACCCAAAGCAGTTTACAGGCTTCTCCTTTCCTCCATGTTATCCTCACAACAACCTTGTGAGGTAGGCGAGGCTGACAGAATGTGAGTAGCCCAAGGTCACCCAGCAAGGTTCCCATGGTATCCAATCCCCCCTGTGCTCTTCTTATCTGTCCTACTGGTGGTCATCACATTCACATTCCACAAAGAACGAGGTTTGCCAACCTCCAGGTGGGAACATACAGAAGTCAAGCTATGTGAAAAGGCCCTAATAAAGATACTGTATAAAGATAATGATGGTCTCTGCATATAATTTATATGAAAAATACAAGTGCAAAAAATTACAAAAATACAATAGCGCTGATATAGTCTAATGACATTTAGAACACACAGAAATGAAGTCCAAGAACATAAATAAGAAGAGATTGGATTTATACCCCGCCCTTCACTTGGAGTCTCAGAGCGGCTTACAAACTCCTTTCCCTCCCCTCCCCACAACAGACACCCTGTGAGGTGGGTGCCAGAAGAACAATGGTTCTAAGTGTCATTAGACTATATCAGCACTATTCTATTTTTGTAATTTTTTTGCACTTGTGTTTCCCATAAAAATTACAAGCAGAGACCATAATTATCTTGATACAGTATCTTTATTAGCGTTTTTTCACGTGGCTTGACTTCTATACGTTCTCATACCTTTTCAGCTGTGTATCTTTTTGGTGAGCCTCCAGTTGGGGCCTACAGATCTCCCATACTTAAAACTGATCTGATCTCCCAACAATGGAGACAAGTCCAACGAGAGGAAACAACCGCTCTGGAAGGTGGACTCTATGGCCTTATACTCCAGTCATGTCCTTCCTCTCCCCAAACCCCACCCTCCCCAAAGTCAGCAACCCCTAGGGTTGCCAAGTTCTTTTTCCTCCGCGGCGGGGGGCTCCTGGACGGCGTCTTGAGCGCGCGCCACATGCACATCAGCCGGAGGTGACGTGATGACGCCAGGCATGCTGGGGGCGGGGCCACAGTCATCTGAGGGGGAAACAGAGTTTTCCCCTCAGATGGCTGTGCAGCCCTAGCAACCCCACAAAGAACTGACCCCAGCCTCTTATGAAAGAAGTCATAAATATATTGTTTACATATATTATACAATTTGGACCTAGAGGGTGTAAATGCAACTCCCCCAGCAGCCATCTTACAAAACCCACTTGCTGGTCCTTCCTCCCACACTCCACCAGGTGATAAACAGCCAAAATGCTAACCCTTTATTAAGTATAAACTCATTTTATATACTCTGTACTACCCACAAGAATAAAAATATTGGGGAAACCCTCAGGCCGATGCATTTGAAGAAGCTGAGAGGAGTGATGGAGTAACTGTATTAAACCTGTAGGATCCCGGATGGTGAAGGCCCAAATGGCACCTTGGATAGTCATGACCACTTTGTCAACCAGGCTGTCAATCCAAAACGGGTGAACCTCCTGTTTTGCTGCTTGCCTTCTTGTCCTCTTGGGGGAGTCCTCCAGGCTGAAGATGGCTCCCTTCTGGTGGCTGAAGAGGGTCACCTGGCAAGACAACCCCCCCCCAGTCAATATGAATCAGTGTATTTATTAGAATATTTACATTCAGAAATAAATACGCAAGTCAACTTTCAATACTAAAATAACCTTACAATATTTGGGGATGGGCCATGGCTCAGCAGTAGAGCACTGGCTTTGCATGCCAAAGTTGCTAGATTCAGTCCCTGGTATCTAGGGTTGCTAGATCCCTCATGGCAACCGATGGGGGATGGAGTGCGATTTACCAGGAGGAAGAGGAAGGCCCAGGACATGTTGCCAGTGTTACATCAGTGTTACACAAAGAAAGTTACATCATCACGCTGCAATGCTCTAGTGTTTGGGCAAAAATACTACAGTAAAAATGGCTTCTACCATAGAGTTTTTGTCCAAATATCAGAGTGCCGCCCCAGACATCACTGGCAGGATGACATCACTTCCTGTGCGACGCCTGGCCCTTCCTCTTTCTCCTGGTAAGTCCCCCTGCCAGCCAATTAATTGGAGGCTGGGGGGCAGGGCCAGGCAGCGCCTCCATCAGGGGGTCTGGCAACCCTACTGGTATCTCTAGTTAAAAGGATCAAGTAGCAGATGATACAAAAGGTCTGCCAGAGAGACTAGACAGGACTGTGGGAGCTTGGACATGGAGGGGTGTTGGCATCACATGCATATCACTCCCGCGGAGAGGCTGAAGTCATGTTATGTCAATCTAGGAATTGGCAGAAACTCCATGGTAAAATTACAGAGTTTCCAGTGAATCCTTGAGCTATGTGATGTTAATTCTAGGTTTCCCCGGAAGTGGTTATGCTGTGTTGCAATGCCAGCAGGTGTTTGTTTGGTTTTTTTAAATTTTCTCCCGGTGCCACTCATGGCAGGCAATAAGCATTTCTGTTGGGAGGCCTGGTAACCCCTAGACGATACAGACCTTGATACACCAGTTGACTTAGTTCCAAGGCAGCCTCATGTTTGTTCAAAACTCATACAAAACAGTTGAAATAGATATCCACCATTAAAGATATAACAGCTAAAGATTTAACTTTTTTAATGTCCCTGGAATTATTTTTAAAAAGTTTTCCTCTGATGCCAGACATTTAGAGCAGGAGCTACTCCAGTGTAAGGGAGAGCAAGTTCTGAAGAGCTGAGAAAGCCTTCATGCAAGTTCCCATCAGTCAGATTTCTGTGACAGGAAGTTCCCACAAAAATGTTTCCTCCGCCAACTTCCATGCACAAGCTGATCTATATGGGCTGAAGTGGTCTAGAAGATACATTGGCTCTAAGCTGTGTGAGGCCTTAAAAGAGACACACCAGCCCTTTGTGTTGGGCCCAAAAGCACAGTGGCAGCTAATACCACAGGTACGAGACTGGAGTGATGACCTCACTGCAGCCAGTCCTGGAGGCAATTTGGCCACCACATTCTGAATTGTAGGATTCATAGTGAATTGCAGCACACGCACAAAGAAGCACCTTATAATATGGTTTTTATAGGTATATTTTATAGGATATTTTCAAATTCAAAGTATTCTTTTCTCCTTTTTTACCGAAGATATGCTGGATTCGCCGATGACTTCAGCCACCCGTCGTATGTTCTCGTTGTTCGTAAATAGTATCTGACCACCCGAGCTGTGAGCTAGGTCTATGTAGAGGTTGAATCGGTCTGGGGCGAGCGTTTCCCGTTTCACCCGGGTCCTAGAGGGATCTTCTGTGATTAGGAAGGTGACCTGAGGTGAGTAAGAGAAAAGAACATTACGTCCTCTTTTGGGAGCTTGTACTCTAAAAGTAAAATCTTGAGAGGTTTTGCACCAGGTTGTGACAGAGAGAAAGCTTTGGCATCAATTAGAAACCAGACAAGTGTCTGAAACTCAAGTCTCGCCAAATGGGAAATCCTGAGCCCACCTTGCATTTTTGCTCCTGGATGAGGGCTTCCACACTGTTCTTGAGGTGAGCATCTTTAGCTGACGCATCGGTAAAGACAAAGAGCTCGGAGTATGGAGGCGAGTTCTGGAGGGCAAGCTGGAAACAAGGACAAAGATCTGTTAGATGCAGAACTGGCCCCGACCACCACTGGCAGCCAAAGGAACAGGCAAGAGCAGCTTGTCTCTGGGTGCTCTGGGGGCCTGAGAGCCTCCTGCATTTCCCAGGTTGAAACAAGCCTCATACATTTCTGCACTGAATTATTGCATCTCCCGTCTCATAATTTCCACCAGCTTTACTGATTTTTCAACTTATAAAGGAAGGCCACAAGGCTAATGACTGGAAGGGTAATTCCTTGCAGCAAAGAGTGTTACCACTGACAGAAAGACATAAATAAAAACAAACACCAATCTTTTTTTCCTCTTTGCAGTGGTCTAAATATCGACATTTGTCCAATTAATGCTGAGCTAATATGACTATGTGGATAACGGGAGTAATAGAAGAGGTACTGTTTCCCTTTGACCTTGCCCCTTTATTTAGTCCTTCTAACATAGGTTGAGGAAGGTGGGGTTTGTTTTGTTTTTTAAAAAGATTGTTATGCCTTTTTTAAAATAGCAGAAATCTCATTGATGACAGAGACATAATGATAAATCAAGAGCATCAATTTTGGCAGGAGTGGATCCATCTTCCCATACATATTAGTGCAACATACTGGATTATTGTACATTCAGCAGACGGTGTTCTTGAAGAAGGTTTCTGGATCAAAACGGATCAAACTTTATGGGAAATCCGTAGAGTACTGAGCACTGCTCAGATATTTCTGCACTGAATTACTGATAGCTCGATGATCCGATATTGTAGAGGATATACATAATCCTATATTATGATCCTATATTAGATAGGATATGTAACTGATAGTGAGCTACTTCTTGCTTCAATCCGCTTTTCAGTGGACTTGGGCATTTGTCTCATTTCACTTTACTGGCACCCGACATCTACTGCCCAAGGAGGCCACTTGACTATATTACGTTTATTTATTTATTTAACATATCCCACCCTCCCCTGCAAGCGGGCTCAGGGTGGGTTACAACACAGATATAAACATTAAAACAACTTCTTAGAACCATAACAATAAAAATCCTGAGTAAAAGACAGATGGTAGGCCAGCAATAATCGATCGTGCAGCTTGTGCTGAAGATCAGGCGGGCCCAAATATGACAAACAGTTCCATTACAATTGACGGTGACGACTCCTGTCTGCACCATAAGGTGATTTGAGGGCAGTTTGGGCAGGAGGGGCCTAAATGAATGGACACCTGCCAGTTAGCCGAAAGCCTGGCGGAACAGCTCCGTTTTACAGGTCCTACGGAACTGTAATAAATCCCGCAGGACCCTGATCTCAGTTGGGAGCAGGGCTATTTTTGGGCAGGAACGCACAGGAATGGAGTTCCGGCTGGCTCCTGAGTTGGCCACACCCAGCAGGAACTCATTAGCATAACAGGCCACACCCAACAGCAGAAACTCATTCGGATTGGCTACATTAGAGATGTGTGGCCTAACATGCAAAGGAGTTCCTGCTACAAAAAAAGGCCCTGGGTTTTGACAACAAACAAGGTAAACAGAATAAGGAGCAAAAGGTGGGTGTGGCTGGATGACCACACTTCTGGTAACATGGGGGTGCGGCCTAATATGCTAATGAACTGTGCTGTCAGGGGTGTGGCCTAATATGCTAATGAGTTTCTGCAGTTGGGTGTGATTTATTATGCTAATAAGTTCCTGCTGGGCTTTTTCTACAAAAAAAAACCCCTGGTTGGGAGCATGTTCCACCAGGCTTATATGAAGCTGCCTTCTACTGAGTCAGACCTCTGGTCTATCCAGGTGAGTCCCCTCTGCTCTGACAGGCAGCAGCTCTCCAGGGTCTCAGGCGGAGGTCTTCCACATCAACTGCTGCCTGAGCCTTTTGCCTAGAAATGCCAGGAATTGAACTTAGGAACTTCTCCATGCCCAGCAGATGCCCCACCAGTGAGCCTCCCTATCCTATGCTATGACCCGCTCTTGTCCTCATGGAGGCTGTCTCCTCATTGGCCTGTCAGCTTTGCACATGAAGTGAACTTCGGATGTGGGTCAGCGTTGTCTCTAGGAACGCCTTTTTTCATTTCCCTTGACTCCTAAACCAGCTTCTTTTTAAAAAAAAACCTGCAGACCTAACCACACTGATCCATGCTACTGTAACCTCCAGATTGGACTACTGTAAATTGCTCTATGCAGGACTGCCTCTGAATATGCCTCAGAAGCTTCTATTGGTGCAGAATGCAGCACGGAGACCTTCTGACTGCAGTGGAAAAGAGCAAGAGTCCAGGAGCACCTTGAAGAGTAACAAAACGTGGCAGGGTAGGAGCTTTCATGATTCACTGCTCACTTCTTCAGATACAAGCTAGAATTAGGAATCACAACATTCAAAAAACAGTGGGGGAACATTTTAACCTTCCAGTACATACAGTTGCTGACCTAAAAGTAGCAGTTCTCTTACAAAGGAATTTCAAAGGGAGATTAGAAAGAGAGACCACTGAATTGCAACTGATAATAAAGCTCAAGACAATGTATCTTCCTGGACTGAATTGAGACCTAGGTTTCGTGTCTCATTACTAATGCTGATTCCTCCACGCCTACCACCTCTCTGCATATCTCACCTAAATCCAATCATGCCTGCCATTGTCATTCACCTGCTATTGTCATTTGCCTGCTAATGTCATTCAGCATCTGAAATCACTTCATTTTCCAATAAATCGGACAGATGGATTCCCATTCTAGCTGTATCTGAAGAAGTGAGCAGTGACTCACAAAAGCTCCTACCCTGCCACATATTCTGTTAGTCTTTAAGGTGCTACTGGACCCTTGCTCTTTTCTGCTGCTACAGACAGACTAACACGGCTACCCATCTTGGTCTTTCCGACTGCAGTTTGGAACACTCAACACCGGTGCTGGCTGGGTCAACTGCATCGGTTGCCTATTTGCTTATGGTCCCAATTCAGAGTACTGGTTATCACCTTTAAAGCCCTTCATAAGAGCGCTAATCCACATTAAGCCTCAGCGAGAAAGGCAGGCTATAAATACAGTAAATGAATGCATAAAATACCTCTCAAATTGCATCTCCCAATACGCTCCCATGCACCAGCTGCATTCCTCAGACAGCCTTCTGGGGCTGCCCTCACCTAGGGGGCCTGTAAGACGGAGCTCTTCCACCAGGCTTTCAATTAGGAGCCGCCCCCACCATTACCATCAATGAGCCTGGCCCTGGGTTTTAACATCTGGCCCGTTACATCAAGCGACTCGGAACGACACTGAGCTGGAATCTAGTTGTCGGAGACATCTTAATACGCCATCGTAAGCAACGAACTGTAGAACTGAATAGCACCTTATGTTTTTATGTTTTAACTTATTATGAAATGATGTATATTGTTTTATCAGTTTTATTGGCAATTGGGCCACTGCTGTAAGCCGCCCTGAGCCCGTTCGCGGGGAGGGCGGGGTACAAATTGAACCAACAACAACAATAACAGGATGGTCTGTTTAGCAGCAGTTGGGTCCCGGCTATTCTCACTGGCAGGCCCCTTCCTATGGAATGATGGCCTACCAGAGTGAGGATAGTGGGGGCCTTCATTTGCCACATTCAAGAAGGGATGTTCTCCTGTTCCGGGGGCATTTGGGAGAGAAGTCATTCTTTTGGCTGTGTGTTTACCTGTGCACATTGGGCATCACCTGCATTCATTGGCTTTTAACTTGCTGCATGCTTGCAATATTTAGTCTCTGTACCTTAGGCTGTTTTGATAGCTGCCTTGAGCTTGCAAAGATAAGGCGGGGTAGTGTGAGCTAGCTCACAGTTTTTTAGCCTCTGGCTCACACATTTTTGTCTTAGCTCAGGAAGGATGGCTCCAGAGCAAACTGATTTATACAGCAGCCAAATCACTCGCTCACAACTTTAATGCCAGCAGCTCACAAAGTAGAATTTTTGCTCACAGGACTCCACAGCTTAGAGGGAGCATTGGTAAGGGGTCCGTACTGGTCCTACCTCGAGTGCAGAAAGGCACATCTCTGGCTCATCTTTGCCGCCCAAAGGGTGGATGGTGTCGAGCAATTCCCAGAACTTTTCTGGGTCACTGGTCTTAAGCATCGGGCCAAAATCTGGAAGCGACAAGAGGGAGACAGTGATCAGAATCAATCCACCCACAGCATGATCATCACTCACAAAGTTGTAGCTGAAAGTCAGCACTGACTCAATCGGAAGGCTTTTGCGCATTCTCCTTTTCCTCGCTTGTGTGTTCCTGTTGCTTCAGGGTTCCCCCCCCATTCCTCACCTGTTTTTCTCCATCTAGTGGTCGATTCGATATTACAACGCATTATGTCCAGCATAAAAACCTGAAGTTTAAATCTGCAGGGAGATACGCCGGGCATAACTCGGTATAATATAGAATTGGCCACTAGAGGGAGCAAAACACATGAGGAGCAGGGGGAAAACCCACCAAAGCAACAGGAACACACAAGCAAGGAAAAGGAGAATATGGAAAAGCCCTGAAGCACATAACGTTTGTACTGCTGTCACGAGCTCCAGCTCTGGCAATTGACCTCAGTGCATTCACACAAGCAAGCTGCTGCTTTATGCTGCAGTCATCCAGTGACAAAGAGGTATGTAGGAACCAGCCCCCAGAGAGGGAAATGTGAACGAAAGAGGAAGGGATCTTCTCCAGACACCAGGACAGCAGCTGACCAAAGAAGACACTATGTACATTTTCTTCAATGTGTTGAAAAATGTAATAATAGGTGAATGAGACAAACACAGATGTTTGGATGCATGTGGACCATTCAGGTACAGTCAGTGGAAGTGCCATAACTGGCTGTCAGGAAACCGTAGCAAGCCCAGGTTTGCTCCACAGAACTTGTGGAACAGCCTTACAGGGAATAGAAGACTTTCTTGCAGAGCTTTCATGTTTAGCTATCGCTTTGCCTACCCAATTCAAATCCTATCATGGGCCGTGGAGTTCATCAGAACCACTATAGGGCTGGAACCTGACCTGTAGCTATAATGGGGCCATTGGGGGCTCTGCCCCCTTTCTCAAAGGACCGGCCCCCTTCCTTAAAGCCCCCCCTTCTCTGCAAAGAAGCGGTGGGTGGTACACCCCTCTCCCTCCCTCCTGAAAGATTTAGAGGTCCGTCCAGCTGATCAGTGGGCCACTGTCAGACTCCCATCGCACCAACGAAGAACACACTTGTAGAAAAGAGTTCTTTATTTGAAGCAAAAGGTGCATAACAGAATCACTGTTCAGAATGAGGGGGGACTCAAATGGTAAAGCATATTATAGCTCATTCAAACTACTGAGGCCCAATTGCGGGGGTTCCCGCGCGCGCCTTTGGGCTTGAGAACTAACGTTCCTAAGCAGCTCATGTTATCTTATTCTCACGGCGTTTCATGAGAACTTCCTTGCACTAACAAGCACTTGCAACCACCTGTGGCCTTGGGAGATATAAGTGTTTCGGCGAGCTACACAGACATGCGCATCTACGATTCTACAGTTAAAAGCGAAAGCACCAAAACGCATACAGAAATACAAAACAAAACATTGGCAGCTTGCTGACGGCCACATGCTTCCCACTGATCAGCTGAAGGGTCCTTTAAATCTTGCAGGAGGCAAAGGAGAGGGGCACACGCCGCCACCCCCCCCCCCATTA